CTTGTCCACATCGGGTCAGGCTGCTGGATCATCTCCGAATCATATCATGGTTTGGATGGGAGGGACCTCAGAGCTCGTCTCGTTCCACCCCTTGCCGTGGGCAGAGACACCTTGCGCTAGAGCAGGTCGCTCCAAGCCCCGTCCAGCTTGGCCTTGGACACTTCTAGGGATGGGGCAACCACAGCTTCTCTGAGCAACCTGTGCCTTCCCCTCCCCTTGTCCTTCCCTGTACAGGACCTTAGCCATGGTCTGGTGTCCTTTCTAGGGCTGTGGGGTGGAACCCTGGCTGAAGAGTAAAAGAAAGTGCCGCTGCATTTTGGCTGATAGAATCTTGTGTTTGCAGAAGTCTTAGGGGTTTTACGTGAAGAAGCATCTTGCAGCAGTGACCTGGTTTTATCTGTAAAGATGTGAATTGTCAGTGCTTAAAGAAAACGTTCCACCTGCACTCAAGTCAAGTATAGGCAACTGGGAAGTCTCACAGCCAACATTTTATTGACAGGTTCATGCCATGGAGTGTGCACAAAGTGGTGCAAGGCAGTATAGGTTGTGACTCTGTTTCGCACTGTCATCCTCCTTGTAGGGAAGCTTATTTGGCTTTTGGTCAGGCAATATTAAAAATAATAGTGGGACTGCTGTCCAGAGCCTTAGAAAATAGAAAACGTCAGTCATTAAACAAATATTTCTGCTCCTTATTTGCAGGTTTTGATGTTGCAAAGACAGGTGATGCCCGAATTGGGTTTGTGGGGTTTCCATCAGTGGGGAAATCTACTCTGCTGAGTAACCTTGCTGGAGTGTACTCTGAAGTGGCAGCATATGAGTTCACTACACTGACTACTGTACCTGGAGTCATCAGGTACAAAGGAGCAAAGATACAGGTGAGATCTTGTGCCTGTGAGGGTGAGATGGTGTAAATAGATGCAGTGCTGTTAGGGCTGAGTGGTCTGGTTTGACATCAGCAGGGTAGAAGTGCTTGACAATACCTTGGAAATGTTTCTATGAGGTACTGATTTTTTCCTGCATTTCAATTTGCCCTGGGAAGAAGTTCCTGTGGTAATTGTTACATTGTCTATGAGGTGATCTGTTTCACTGTACCAATAAGGCACATGGGCTAAGACAGTATCTAAGAATCAAAGGGGAAACAGTCTTGTCATACGCTGTTCAGATGTGCAATAGGGTCAGCTGGCTTATGTCAAAGTAGGATTTATTTTCTCAATGAAGAAGACTGTTTTTCTCATGTGATACTTTCCTTCCTGTGAACAAATAGCTGCTTGATCTGCCAGGAATTATTGAAGGTGCCAAGGATGGCAAAGGCAGAGGACGACAGGTCATCGCAGGTGAGTGTATTAGAGCTGGAGACAGCAGCCCGTCACTGGCTCAGTTAGCACAGCACAGGAGAATGAAGGGTGGAATCACCATTGCTGATGTCTCTAAAGAGCTGGATTGTTTGCTGCACTGAGCTGCCTGCAGAAAAGCAGTAGCTGTTTTCATTTTGGTTTGTTTTCAGTTCTCCTTTGTGCACTTGCTGAGCTCACGCTCTGTGTTGACACTGCAGTGAAAGTACATTAGCAGTTTTGCAGGCAGATGTGATCCCATCCTGAACAAGGCTGCTGTCTGCATTTCTTCACCCAGCTTACAGCCCTCAGTCTGGGGTCTGAGTGGAGACAGGAAGAAAGATTTTTTTCCCAGCCTCTGATTCTTACAACGTGTCAGGATCTGTCTATCAGTGGTGCTTGGCCAGCACTATAAACTTGAGTCTTGCACTGGAAGGGGCAGTGTGCTGGCCTTCAGGGGGGTCATACTGTCATCAGTGCACCGAGCCATGTTTTGGGTGTTTTGTCTCAGGTTGTGAATGTGCTTTTTTGAGAAATTACTTTTTTTTTCTGATTCTTAGTTGCTCGAACCTGTAATCTCATTCTGATTGTTCTGGATGTGCTGAAACCCCTTGGTCACAAGAAAATCATTGAGAATGAACTGGAGGGATTTGGAATTCGACTGAATAGTAAGCCCCCCAATATTGGCTTTAAAAAAAAGGATAAAGGAGGCATTAACCTTACAGCCACAGTAAGTTGAGAGTTTTCTTTAACCAAAATGTAAAAAAAAATTGCTTGCAGGAAGAGGCATTTGCAGTTGATGGTTTGCTTGGGACCATGCTGTGCTGTGGCTGCTTTAGAGGCTGAACTGCTGTCATGAACTTTCCTTGGAGGCAACACACACCTCTCCTGGAGCCTGACCACCTCCTCACCCCCAAAGCAGAGGCGCAGTCACTTTCCACACTTACAAGTTTGAGGTCCAAAAGGAGAGTGTGCAAAAACTGCTTTTCACTTGGTGGCTACAGTGTTCTTCTGGAAAAGATTTCTCAGAGTTCCAGGCCTTGCAACCTGGACTACTCCTCATTTCCTGTCTACCATGGAATCTTTAAAAACATAGAAATAGCCACAGACACAAAAACTCTGAACTCTGGGCTCTAAGTACCTAGCATGTAGTTGTGTGGGGTTTGTGTTGTAACTGGTCCCAGACTGACAGGAAACGCTTCTGGAATGTCTGGTTGCAGCTCTCAGTGGGGTGCTAATATAAATGAAGCTGTTAGGAGTTAAATCTGACCTCTCCTCAGACTACCTATTGCCAGTCACGTGCAATAACTTAACACAGCAATTATTTCTAGTAATCCATATTCAGTGGTTGCTAGGTGACAGCACTGCTAATTGTAACAATTACTTGGCTGTAAACTCTTCCATTCCCTAATCCTGTGTCCATGTTCAGTGCCCTCAGAGTGAGCTGGATACTGAAACAGTGAAGAGCATCTTAGCGGAGTACAAGATTCACAACGCTGATGTCACACTGCGCAGCGACGCCACTGCTGATGACCTGATTGACGTTGTTGAAGGAAACAGGTACTGCTGGGACCCTGGCTTGGCATGCCTGCAGTTTGTATCGCAAGGAAAGGAACTGTCCCTGGAGTTCGCTTCGCACAGAAGCTAAGCCAGCAATGTGGCATCAACAGGGATAGAGTGAAGGTTGTAGTGTACTGCTGCTGGGCTGCTGTAACCATTTCCTTCTCTTTGCAGGGTTTACATCCCATGCATTTATGTCCTGAATAAAATTGACCAAATTTCCATTGAGGAACTAGATATTATTTACAAAGTACCCCACTGTGTCCCAATATCTGCTCATCATCGCTGGAACTTTGATGATCTGCTGGAGAAAATTTGGGACTACTTGAAGCTAGTGCGAATGTGAGTCACAATCGGTGCTTTCTGTGGAGTGCAGCGTAAGGCTGAGACTGAAGAAGGTCTCAGGAATGGATGAATGCAGATTATTTTATAATGGTTTTCTACTAGCTGAATTGTTTGCTCTATAAACAGGAAATTGTGCTCGTCTGTTGTGTGGCAGCCACAAGTGCTACATTTTAACTTGCAGGGAAATTAAATGAGGACCTTGTGGAACCAAGACCAAAGCATATGCTAAAAACTTCCTGAAAACATGAAATTCTACTCAAACTTAGTGTAAAATCATGAATTCCAGAGGTAGACTGAAAAAATGACTGTCATGCATTCAGCTCTCTTAACAAAAGTGAATTTAGTTCTGTATCTAGAATGTCAGATAGTTTTACTGTATTAGTTATTCCAGGTTTACCTCAAAATTGTAATGCATTTTTGGATGAATTTGCAAATCTGTTAATACTCATAATACATAACTCTAATCTTCTAAATTTGTATCTGCCTTGTGATAATATAAAATCTATTGTGAAAAGGGATTTTTAGTATGTTTGGACCTCTGGGCTATAGTTTGTCAAGTGTTTTTTCTAATACCTGTTGAGTTTTGTCACAGAAAAATCACCAGTCAGAATCATAATATCATGGATGTTCTTTTCCATCAGCTAGTCCTGTTTCATCCTTTTTTTAAGCACCTACACAAAGATCCCTAGTAAGAAACCTTTGCAGCCACTGGCTCCTCGGATGCATTTTCAGTTTAGGAACACCAAACACTTTACAGCACATCCAGTGTCACCACTGGAACAGTGGAACTTGGCCCATGTGCCTGGGGTGATGTGTGGATGACCGATGAGATTTCATGAGTTCAAAGAGGAGGTTTTGGTACTGACTGTTCCATCTCCATTACAGCTACACCAAACCCAAAGGGCAACTCCCAGACTACACCTCTCCCGTGGTGCTACCTTACTGCAAGACTACAGTGGAGGATTTTTGCATGAAGATCCACAAAAATCTCATTAAAGATTTCAAATAGTAAGTATTATTTTAAAAGAACGATTTGTACAGAGTAGAAAATTCCATGGCTATATTTGATGTTCATATGCTCTTTCCTGGGTAAATTTTCTCCATGGGGAAAATGTTTGTGTCTGGAAGTTGCACTAGACACAGCATTACAGCCCTTGGCCCACATGCTTGAGTGTTTTGGCTGCCTTCGTGCTTTGCTTTGATCTCTTGTACCCTGGTTCACACACCACTCAGCCAGGTACTTGCAGGAGAATAAAAATAGCTCTGAAGCATTGCTTTCTGTATTAGCTTTGTGACAGAAATAGCTGTTGTGCTGTTTACTTATCATACTAAACCTTTTAAATTTGTTTTTTTTTCTCCTTTCAGTGCACTGGTCTGGGGTTCATCTGTTAAACACAATCCTCAAAAAGTTGGCAAAGATCATACTCTTGAAGATGAGGATGTTATTCAGATTGTGAAGAAATAAAGTTGTTCTCACATGGTTTGTTGCTGTACCTGAATTTTGTCATTAATTTTAAGTAGCAAAAAAAGGCCATTTCTAAATGGATGTTGGGTTTTTATTATAGTAAAACTGATGTTTCTGGCCAGCTTGTACTGCAGTATCCTGTTCTGGAAGAGCTTAGACATGAGAAATTCAAGTTAAGTGACTTTCACAAGGGCAAAATCTCACAGGAAGCTTTGATGCCAGGGATGATTTTCTGCTGCCTGTACATGCCTTTCCAAATTGGAAAAAAGTTCACACATCAGGAATTATTTTATTCTAAATTAAAACAAGCTATGAAAAGCAGAGGCTGGAGCACTACATCTTATGAAACAATCCTAGAGGACAGAGAGTTCCAGCTGCCTTAATCTGAAAGTGTTCTTGTTTGAATACTTCAAGGCTATTAATAGTCCTGCAGTTGTGGAAAAGCTGGATGTTTCTGCTCAGGAGCAGTTGCTGTTTCAGTTGTGTGGACTAGTGGAAGCAAGGGTGCTGCTTGTGTCTTACTGTGGTAAGGACTGAACACCCTTCTAAGTTTTCTTGAAAGAATTTCCTGCCTAGTTTAGAGAAGGCAAGTAAGGTGCACAAGAGAAGCAGAGGCTGCTCTTTAGAGAGTCTGTTGCTTTAATAGAGGAATAAAGCAGCTTTTATCTCCTGGTAAGAGCTCTATCAAATACATCAGCCTCTAGCATTTGCTTTCCTACAAAAAGGAAGGAGGGGGGTTTGGTTAATAGGGGTGTTCACTTAGTTGCATCAGAAATGCTCCCCCTCATGTTATTACACATCCAAGGAGAAATGCAGTGATTAGACACCCACTCAAACACTAAATCTTTACAACAGTGGTCGCTACTCAGTCTAGTGAGGAAACATCCAAGCCTTGATTCTACTCTCAGCATTTCCAACCAGTTATTTTTCTAGCTTCCTGGATAAATTAGTGGAAGTGCTGCAGGTGTGCTGTGGTTATCAGCCTTGAGTGCAAGGGGCAGAGTAGGAGCTGTGCACAGTGAACCCCATATTCAACCTTTTGTTTGAGCTGGTTAATTTTATAAGTTCTTCTGGTACACTGAACCACCAGGGCTGTACAGAAACACTTTCATGCAGCAATTCCAGTCTGTGTGTCCAGTGAGACCAGTTAACCTTCAACAGAGCAGACTGTTCCTCCCCACCCCTGGGCTAAAGTTGGAGCAGATTCAGCTCAAACCATGGTTCCAGCTTACACACAAGAACAATGCTAAAAATTAATCAATATACTGACAATTTAGTACAAGAGTAGTTGATACAGCTGGTAGAATCAACTTTATTTACAGAACGTTACTGGGAAAGTGTCAAGTTAAAAAAGTATGAAAACAATCTTACAAGGACAAGCTGGTGATTGCATGTTTTACAGGGATTGTTTTGGGAACAACCACTAAAAATATGGGTGACCCCCAACAGCTTCCACATTGGAGCTTTCAGCTTGCTATTTCCACACAACACTGTCTCTGCTGCACTGACGAAACCCACCCCAGCACACGGGCAGTGGTTAGAATACAGACAGGTGACTTTTGTATTTCCCTACTCCTGGTGTTGCATTCAGTGAGGCCGAACAAAGAGGAAGTCTGTGAGAATTCTGGTTTTGCTTTCACCACCTTTAAAAGAGCACAACAGCCTAAGCTAGAGAGAGGACATGACAGCAGTACTAGACTCAACGCAAGTGAGGGAGTGAAGTGAGGAACCATGCAGAAGGATGGAAGAGAACATTTAACTCTTCAGTAAAGTTAAACAGGCTTAAAAGGAACATAGTATCTTAAAACCAAATATACACAGTAAGATCACAAAACTACCCCATCCTCCCCCTTTCAAGCCACAGAACAAGACTCCAAAGGCAAGTTTCACAGTAACTGCATCACTGGATGCACAACTAGAGGACAGTTCTCAGGACTGCATTCTACAAACAGAACTAAAGGTGGTATAAAACCACAGCTAGGACTGGGGAATTGAAGGGTGAGGATTCAAAGGCTCCGTTTTGATGACCTTTAGTAACTGGTTTGAAAAATTAAAACAAGAAAAATACTGCAGCTAAACAAAGACCAGCACCAGCCCTCTTGAAAGAGCTATGACCAGTAGATACCTATAGACTGAAGATTTGGCTTTATCATGACTGCACCAGGTCCCATCCTCAAGGCTGTTCAAAAACTAAACAATTCTCTCATTTGGTGTCAAGAGTCACACACAGGGCATCAGACCTTTGTTACACAGACAGCAAGATGTGGGCTTATACTTTGACACTTGAGCTACACTGAGTGCACAGTACGTGACAGAAGGATGTGACAGGGAGACCTAGAGGAGATGAGCAGCAAGAAAAGGCAAAGCAACTTCATCCTGTTCACTCACACTTAGGATATGCAACTTTAATCTTAAACAAAAGTCCCACACGTACAATGGAAAAAGGTCCAAACCATAGGCACAACTAAAGCTCAACTGTTATCAGCTACTCTTATGTACAGCTGTATAGATTCAAAAAGGCTATTCTAGGTGTATATGTACAAAAGATTGTTTATACACAAGTCTGTACACAAAGGTCTATACATGTAGTTTTCTGCAGGAGGAATCCACAGCTGCTACCTCTACACTAGAGAATATCAGCACTTCATTCACATATCTTACAAAAACGAAAGAAAAAAAAAAAGACACTTCCAGGATTAAACTGGCTTTGTCTGGCATCTAAATTTCTTCAGGCTTCACTATCCAAGCCATAATGGATTCTTTAGTCTTGATGCAGACATGAGACCAGGACAGGTGCCATGTGCTTTAGTCTCTCAGAAAGAAATCTTGCACAGAGTGCTAAAAATAAAAGCCCCAAAAAAACAAAACAGAGGTGAAGTCCTGACTATGGACATTTTTCATCCAGTCTATAGAATTGCAAGTGTTCCACCCAGTGGTCACTGTTCACTGCCGGTATTCCAGTTCATCTACACTGATGACTTTGGATGGCATGGAAGGGAGAGGCTGCTGCAAGACATCTGAACCAAACCACTTTGCAAGGCCAATGGGAGAGCCACTTCTCTGGCTGGGGCGATGGTCAAGCTGTGTGTGCCCGTGAGAGAATCCAGTCCGAGGCAGCACATTTTGGGGGTTTGTTTGTGCACCAGCAGGTGATCCCTGTGCTCCAGAGCCTGTGAAATGTAAAGCTATTAGAGGTGGAACAATACTCAGCACAGATTTGCCCTCGAGCTATCACCTGATAAGGCATGTGAGCTGAATGTGGCTTTAATCATTCTAGGAACCCTGCGAAATTCAGGCACCACATGCTCATTTGCATTAGGACTCCCATAAATGGCCTGGCACTGCCAGATCTGGGCACAACATCATTCAGGTTTGAACTGGAAGACCAGCATCAAATAGCATTTTACTGGAGATGGTGGGTGGCCTCTTGCCCAGCAAGGATGGAAACCTGGACACATGCTGCAAGAGGCAGATCTGTCAGTAACAACACACACTGAAACCAAATGCTTCACTTGGTCTTTCTTCTGGCACAAGAACCTGCAGTGGCCAAAACTGCCTGATACTCACAGAGGATTAGAGATTATCTAAATTAACAAAGTAGCTTGCTGGTAGCCCAATGTATTGAAACAGCCCAGCGAGTACAGTACCTGGAGCAGGATGTGCAGTGTTCTAGACCTCACACTGCTGCTTTCTGCTTCAGCCTACCTGATCGTTGTAGCTGCTGTTGCATCACCGCGAGCTGCAAAGGTGTCCCCGAGCGTGGATTTAGGATGTGATGACTTGCTGTTGGTAGTGGATAAAAAGGCTGGCCAAGGATGGGAGCAGATATTCCCTGCAAGTGAGACAGGTCCACTCCAGGAGGAAGCATACCTGTTGAACAAAAGCAAGGAGATTTCTTACCTAATAAGAATAAGGAAATTTCAACAAAACACAACACACATGTTTAGATGGGTTGGAATTTATTGCCTGATTTTAAAGGCAAGTTCTGATGTAATAAACAGTACCAATAATATCAGTTCGTGCACAGTCTCAAAGAGAACATGCATTAACTTCAGAGGAAAAAAAGGATGGATTACCTGCTTGCAGCAGAGGAAGGTGTTGCGGATGGACCCCCTGTGCCAGCATTCTCTGGACCAATCCTGGGTGCAGTTGATGAGCAGGTCGTACAAGTGGTACATGGGGAACAAGGGGTACTTGATGAACAGGACGAAGGAAAGGGCCTCCTGGTACTGGGGAGGCCATTGTAGGAGTCTTCCTACCAGCTGATTTGGGCCTGTAGTCTTGCTCTTTGGTGCAACGATTTGCTTGGGTAAGAGGTGTGGAACATGCAGAGCGTTGCAGTGCAGGTAGTTTGGTACCTAAGGTGGGCAAAGTTCCTTGATCTGCATTCTCCACAGAACTAGACAGTAGGTTATCTGTAGCTAGAATTGAATACAACTATTACAGTCCACAGCTAGAGATTACTCCTAATGAAAATTAATGCTAATGACTGGATTTGATAGTTAGGATTCCAGAAGTAGCTGAACTGTAGTCGTATATTTATTAGTAAGCATCTCTTTCCTGGATGCTTCTGGCCAAATTATTTAAAAAAAGTAACAAGAAGGATTATGTTCCACAGAAATCCCTTAACAGCAAGCTTAAATTACAACGGAATCATAGAATATTAGGGGTTGGGATGGACCTTATAGATCATCTAGTCCCAACCCCTCCTGCCATGGGCAGGGACACCTCCCCACTAACCCAGGTTGCTCAAGGCTTTATCCAACCTGGCTTTGAAATTAGACCAGAATCAGCAGTAACTGCATTGTTAATTCTTATTTTTGCCTCTTTCTTGGGAATTTTGTATTGGCAGCATGAATGAGTCAGTCCCAAAGGTGACAGGGGGTACAAGGGATCCTCCCTAGACAAGGCTGCAATTTGGAGTGTGTCACAAATCCCAAAGTGGTTTTTCAGTTTATATGTGTTTGGAGGTTAGCAGCAGTCTTCTGTATGTTATCTGCTTAGCAAGACTTGGAACACTAAAGCACCTCAAGAAGCTACTTCCACAGACCATCCAGATCACTTAGACAAAACCTAAAATACCTTAACATCACCTGCTACCAGCTGAGGTGTCCTGTTAACAGGAACTGCAAGCTACCTCTGTAGTTACCTACACTGCAGTACAATGTCATGGCCATTAGCCCTGTCAGTCTGACTGAGCCAGGAAAACAGTGTCCAGCATTCCCTTTTAATAGCCTCTTACACCAGTTCGGGTGACAAAATGCTTCCCTCATTTGCTGCACTTGAAAGAGCCTAATTGGTCTCAGCTTTGATTGTTCAGTTAAGATGTACCAAGAGCACTCTAAGTTTTCAATTCCTGGCATAGAGCTACAGAAGCATCATTGATTTTATGCTTGCTCATCAAGGAAAGTTGCAAACAAACTCTTATGGTCCAGGCCTCTTAGTCACTATTGCTCACAAACTGACACATAGGAAAAAATGGATTAAAACCCAACACTGCTGGAAGATTACACTTGGAAGTGTATCTCCCTCCGTAGCTCTAGCCTCCCCTCTCATTACAGGCTCACTCACTTCTATACCTTCCTCACCTCCACTCATCAGG